CGCCCACATCGGCCTCCTGCTGCCCGCCCTCGGGCAGCTGCTGGACCGTCAGTTCCAATTATTGGCCGGCACTGCAGTGACTGTGAGCCAGGGTGGCCACGTGCCCTATGGCCACGTTGGGAGTCCTAGTTCGGCCCCGTGGGCAGCTGCAGGGCAGTGACCTTGAGCTCACCCTCTCCATTCCCAGCCTCTCCTGGATGGGGCTGGGAGCAGGTGGGCAGCATGGACGACCACCGCTGGCCCTGCTGCAGTCACGCATACACCATAGTGGGAGCGCACTCACACCCACCTGCAGCTGCGCAGGCCTGGTGCTCAGACCGAGCCTGCACACAGACTCACCACTGGCTTGACAATGACTCCTCTACATACTCCACGGCCACACTGGGACGGAGCAGGCATGGAGCCCATGGAGCCCCCGTGGCAGTGGGGAAAGGAGGGCAGGGCAGCAGAGCAAGCAGAGGCCCCAGGGAGGCTGTGCCTGCAGGGTGGCTCCAGGAGCAAGGGGTAGGAGCCCAGGTGACTAGCAAGGAGTGGGCCAGGCGGACAGACCTGCTGGGTTCACGTAGCTCAGGTGGGGGGAGCTGGGGACACTGAGGCCTGGGCCCTGACTGAGGGGTGTGATGGGGGAGGGAGGCAGAAGTGGAGGGCACGGAGCAGCCTGCCACAGGCCTCGGGGAGAGCGCCAGACCCAGCGCTGGCTCGGTTGGAAGCCCCCTGCGGCAGCACTCAGGGCTGGGCACCCACCTCCACACAGACACGTAGATAATGACCAGCATGAGCAGGGTGAGGGAGGACACGCCACAGCCCACGATGAGCGTCACCGACGGCACCGCCGCCTTCTCCATCGTCTGCGGGTTCCAGGGAGACCGCGGAGTGAGGGGGCAGGACACTTGTACCTACCGGGCCGAGGCTGGGCAGGGTCGGCCCACGGCATCCATGGCCCTGGGGCTCCTCTCCCGAGTGGCTTTCTCTTGCAGCGTCACCTCGAGGGGAACTCCTGGCCCCAGAAAGGGTGAGGCGCCCCCGCTGGGATAGCCAGTTGGTGCTGACACAGCTAAGCCCCGGGTCCTCGCTGGTGAGCCCGATTCCAGAGGAGCACACAGAGGCGCTGCAGAGCTGCTGAGCCCAGGCCCCTGCACCAGGTCCCTCAGGCCTGGGCGCTGGCACACCTTGGGGAGCAGATGCCATGGGCTCCCCACACAGCTTGCAAGGCCCCGGGCTCCATCTGCACCCAGCTCTGCACCCCCAGCAGCTGGCACTGCCCCACGCCTGTCCACACCTCCCCGCTGGAAAGCAGGAGCCTCCATCATGGGGACCTTGGCCCTGCCCTGTGGGTGGGGGTCGCGCTGGCTAGGCTGGACAGCTACCCCGAGGTCTGAGGGTGCCGCCAGCGGGGAGATGGGGCTGCAGGGGGGGCACGATGGGAGAGGGGCTCTTGTGGCCCCACCCCAAATCTGACACCTCTGGGCCCTGCCCAGTCTGACCTGGCTGGCTGGTGGCCTCCAGAGCAGAGCTGGGCCCCACTGGCCCTGGCACGCTACAGGGCTGGTTTCATTCCCTGCGGCTCCTCAAGGCCCAGCAGACAGTCTTTCCCCCACCAGGCCCTCCACCCCCC